GCAAATTTCAGCAACTTTTGATAAGTTTTGATAACTTTTCACAATAAAAAGGCACATATTTTCCATCCAAATTACACAAAAAGAGGAAACCAAAGATGCCTAGCAGTACACACATCACGTGAATTGAGTTAGCTGCCATTTGCAGTTGTTCAATTTAATAATAATAATCATTGAATCATTGTTCATTTATGATACACTTTGTTAGTAGCTTCTTGTACCTGTGATTTGTTGATCAATTAGTACACAGTAAGAAAATAGGCAAAAGATACTAGTAATTTTCCAGGACATTATCCATTATCCATTGTAACCCTGTAACCTGAAAACACAATGCGTAATTTAAAATGCAGGTAAAAAATCAATACGGAAAATTTTCATATTAACATAGTAGATTGTGCCCTAATTTTACAGACTCTTCTTGGAGTGTAGCATACTAACTAACTACTAATACACTGCTTAAAGCATAATTGTTGAGAATGTGTAATATTACTAGTTTACTAGCTATTAAAAAAAACTTAAATTGTAATCATTCAAAAATGTGTAAGAGTTCAATAATTCAATTTATTTAAAAATACAGCTATTTATATTATTTATAATATTGTATTATGCATGTTATTTAACAAACAAATCTAAATTAACATATATAAAATATATTTTTAGCTGAGATTTGATGTAGTGACACAATTTTGCATCGTGATTACGCAATGACGTCATCGTGCAATGACATCACAACGTCATAGTTAATTTCTGGTCACCTGATAATGTCATCTCTGATATAATGTGTTTGTGTGTTTTTAGCACTGCAGGCACGGCATGTGTGTGAATAAGGAGATGGACATGAAGCCGGTTCATGGTGAATGGGGCCCCTGGGGCCCCTACAGTGTTTGTTCCAGGACCTGTGGAGGAGGAACACGCAGCACAACCAGAGACTGCAATAAACCCGAGTAAGCGCATAATCTGTTTTAATGAAAATATTGTTATAATAAAAAAAAAAGAAGATATTTATTTATCCCAACATGTCAATAAATGTATATAGGAAAAAAAAAAAAGATTACATTTTATATATTTAGGCAAAATATAATTTCTTTTTTTTCTTTTACCGTTGGAGTGAAATATGCTCCTTTGTTCTTTATTTCTTATTTAGTTATACAATATGGTAATTATAAAATATAAAATATGCTTTTTTTTAAGGTGATATATAATACAGCTATTTATATTATTTATAATATTGTATTATGCATGTTATTTAACAAACAAATCTAAATTAACATATATAAAATATATTTTTAGCTGAGATTTGATGTAGTGACACAATTTTGCATCGTGATTACGCAATGACGTCATCGTGCAATGACATCACAACGTCATTTAGCAACAAATCGACCTTCCTTTAGCAACTTTCTCTGAAAATGAGTTGGCAACACTTGCTGCAGCTATTGTTGTAATGATTTTCTAGCGGCTGATGGAGGAGCCGTGCTTCATAATAAATCTGCTGAGCTCGTCAAACACTGATGAATAGCACACAGACAGCATTCATGCTTTTGGCAGATGCTTTTATCTGAAGTGAATGCTGTAGTTACTCGCTGACAGATGAAATGGAGAAATCACATCGCTCTCTGACACAGAAGTAGACTTCAGAATGACTTTGCACTTCATTAGCCGATCAGAAACACTCTCTGCTGCTCTGACATGTTTATAGAGGGTGGAGAGTGAATATGAGTGAATATCTCAAGAAAGCTGCTAATTCAAGTACATTTTTTAGACCTGTGACTGTAGGGTCCGTGTACGTTTTGATAGTAAGTTTTTCAATTTAAAATGAAATACGCAGAAATGAGAAAACGGCACCTTTATTCGTTTTTTTTTTTTCGTTTTTTCCCCGTTTATTAAAAAAAAAAAAAAGAAAAACAAGATTTCGGCTCAATTTTTAGTTTTTTTGTTTCACGGGTAGAAAACGGATTAACGACTTCAAAATTCGTTTTCCCCATGTGAGCGGTCATGAGACGCCCCTTTCTGCCGATTGGTCAACCAAAGTCGTTCCTCGGTTCTGTTAACCCTTAAATGCATGAATGTTTCACCAATCATTATTACATATTCGGGTCTTTAGCGACCAGGACCTATATATCCAGCATGGATGGATCTCTAACTGCTGCAATAGCAAAAAAAATAAATCTCTTGATACTTTAAAGGGGTCATATGATGCTTTTTTAAAGATCATTATTTTGTGTATTTGGTGTAACAGAATATGTTGACATGCTTTAATGTTCAAAAAACACATTATTTTTCAAATACTGTACATTATTGTAGGTCCTCTATGCCCCGCCTCTCTCAAACGCTTCGTCACACATTTTCCATCCAGATTACTCAAAAAGAGGAAACCAAAGATGCCTAGCAGTACACACATCACGTGAATTGAGTTAGCTGCCATTTGCAGTTGTTCAATTTAATAATAATAATCATTGAATCATTGTTCATTTATGATACACTTTGTTAGTAGCTTCTTGTACCTGTGATTTGTTGATCAATTAGTACACAGTAAGAAAATAGGCTCAGGGATCTTATCTATGCACAATCAGCTTGTAACAATCCAAAGAGAAAGGAAAACTTGAAATCGCATCATATGACCCCTTTAAGAACAATGGACCGAGCTTGATTGACAGGCAATCTGACCAATCAGAACGCGGATATTATGTGCTGCCGCTGCTATCTGCCATCTTGTCTGACAGCTACAGCCGGTCTCCATAGAAATCCATGTTAAAATGGGGTAAAAAAGATAGACTGACTTGAAACTTTTTCAATGTAACCAAGTATAAAAATGTGCGCAAGGTTGCTGTGCTGTTGTTGTCTGCCATAGTAATGGCAATAAGCAAAGGAATTACTTTAAAGTACTTGTATTGCGCATCAGAAAATCTGTCATGTCTGGCGCTGTATGCATGGCTCAGTTAAAATACTGAGTGTGAAATTATTAAATGATATGATATGCATCCACCGATTGCAGCAAACTGTAAAATCAGGGTCACCTACTCACCTAGGCCTACTGTAAGCCCAGGGGGAAAAAACATATGGGTAGTTTTAAAATACATGTTCAAACAAAAACTGTCATGTTTTGGCTATAGGCATACGACGTGTTTATGTGATTATATGTTATGATGCTGTATTATATATTAACACTGGACAGTTTGTAATCTACATTAACAAAACATCCTTCTTGACTCTCCAACCGAGTGTAATGGTAGCCTATGTTAAGAAGCCTTTAACATTATGTGCTCAACAGTATCAGCATCTATTAGCACACTTATTTTGATCTTTAATGTTTGATCTTACCACATTCTTTGTTAAAAAAAAATATTAACATTATTCGTTATTAACAAAACGAGTAAGACGGATCCTATAGGACCCTAAATGGATTTTCCCCTTACTTTAAAACGAATATAGTTTTTGGTTCATTGTTAATTTAATGAAAACACAACAACAACAAAAATAGTACAATAAAACGCGCTTATATAAACCAAACTTTTATTAAAAAAACGAATAAGAAGGATGACACAAATATCTGCGCTATATTTAAGGTATTTGGATTTTCCCCCGTTAAAACGAATGCTCGTTTTGTTGTTCATTATCACTTTATTGAAAACACAACAACAATATAAAACAAAGGCAAACTCACTCACTATGAAGCGGACGCTTGTCTGCTGTCCAGCTGAACTACATTGATATTGTTATTTCTATAAAAATACAAAACGACAGTGGAGCGGTGGTAATGCAATCGGTGGATGGCCGAACACCGTGTAACACCGAGAGTTAGTTATTTATTATCTAGTTATTTATCAACATTTTACTTTTCTGTGCACACTCATAACTTAAATCCTGGCAAAACGAAACGTTCCCGCCCGCGTCTATGGTTACAGTACAGTAAAAATTTAATTCGCCATCCTCGGTGTATACCCTCAGCTGATTTGCAATACAGTATTTGCAATGACTATCCATTGTCCAAAACTGAGCATATTGTCTAAAAGAAAAGTTACGACTGCTTCGTATTTACACTTGACTGAACACTGATCTGTGGAAACGCAGCTTCACCACTCAGATTTAACTCAGCACACAGGCTGGGTTCAGATTAATATTTCTGAAATAAATATTTATTTGAAACGTGTTAGGTTGCACAGAAGAAAGCCCAGTCTAGGACCTGTGTACAGTTTAAGAATCGGTACTGCTATAGCAGCAAAGGAGTATTATTTTGTTTAACAGAACTGAGGAACAACTGAACAACATGGGGAAAATAAATTTTGAAGTCGTTTATCCTTTTCTACCCATGGAACAAAAAAAAAATCTTGCCGAAATCTTGTTTTTCGTTTTTTTTTTTTTTTAATAAACGAAAAAACGAATAAAGGTGCCGTTTTCTCATTTCTGCTTATTTCATTTCAATTTGAAAAACAAAGTATCAAAATGTAAACGGACCCTGTAGAATCCGTGTATCATTCGATCATTCGTTTTTTGATTTAATATTGAAAGTAGAAAAATTAGAAAACGGCTCCTTTTTCGGTTTTTTGTTTTTTTTCCAAAAAATTTTTTTCGTTTTTCGTTCATGGGTGGAAAAATGAATAAACAGCTTGAATATTCGATTTCTACACGTGGGCGGGAATTAAACGCCCCTTTCTGCTGATTGGTCAGCCGAATATCAAACCGTGCCATCATCAGTTCTTCCGCAGTATCGCAGCAGAATAATAGTCCTCCACTGCTGCAGTTGTACGGATTAATAACCCATTTTATCAATTTCATATTTTTCTCATCAAACAGGCTAATGAATAGCTCGACACAACTCGTACCGGGGCAGAGTCTAGATAGGTCTTTCTTCTGTGTAGACCAGCGGTTCTTAAATTGATAGGGGGTCCGAGAAATAATTTGCTATAGCCTAAAGTATTTCCAGACTGTAAAGTCGCTTTTTTTTATCATGATACATAGGCCTACTGTGATTTATTCCAAAGTGCATTTAACGTCAAATAATCTAAATGAAGCCTTTTAAAAGACAAGTATTTCCTGTGGTTCATGTTTGTGGCATGCGCTGGAAAGATGCTCAAGGAGACCAAGATGCACTAAAGCAGCGCATTCTCTTGTTCTCTTTATTTTTCAAAGGCATGCCATTTTGTAATTGTTTTGAACGTAACGTTACACAAATAAAAATACATTTTACCATACGACTATAAATGACAGAGTATTAAGTTATTTCCCCTCGATGGGGAAAAAAATCCAAGTGAACATCAATCAGTACTCAATATTAATTTAAACTGCTTTAAATATGACTGCTGCTTATTTCCTGTGCACTTCTGCGCTTGACTGTAGTCGCGTCTGTCTGCTTATTGAGTTTATTTAACCCATCGCAATTTATTGGAACTGTGTGAACTAGACTGACTACTCACCTTAATGTTGTTCTAAAGGCTTATTACTTAATAACACAAAAATGTCCTGCTGGCACTTGCCAATTTAATGGCAGAGAATGGGGACTTTAGATTTTTTTTTTTTTTTTTGGAAGCGGATGCATATCTGTCGTAAAATAATCCTATGCATCTCATGGCATATATTCCAAGCATTCTGAAGGTATACTGAGGGTTTGGTGAGAAACAAACCGAAATGGCAAGTTATTATATTTTATGAAAATCTTGCGTTGCA